GGGCAGTGATTTAAACCGCACTCATTTGATGAGTTTGCTTCACTGTTGTTCCTCAAAAGGGAAAAATCGAAAATGCTATCTTCAAGATAATGACTAAATACACTGGCTGACACATACTTCCGAATACACACCTGACTGAACAGTAATTTATTTTTTTCATAATGCAGTGGTAACTGAGTGCAGACACAAGTGCTGACTGCTTCAAAAACATGCACATGCAAATAAGCTTCTGCATGCAATAACACGCAGTGGATTGAAGTGGCAGAGAAACTGCTTTGCTGAGTTAAATATCAGATGCAAATGAAAAGAGAAAATCTTATCATGACTCTAATGTGTCCTGATAGGAGGGTGTGCACTCTTGTCTGAGGAGCCAAGCAGGGTGGGGAGGGTGATGTATGGAGGAGTTGGATGAGAGATGAAAAGCATGGCGAGATGAATGGAGGGAATGGAAGGAAGGAGGTGTATGTGTGAGGGTTGTGGGGGATGTTAGGAAGTCCTGCCAGACTCCTGAGAGCCAAGGGCAAAAGTGGATAAATGTTGATTAGTGTTGATTTTGTCCAACTAGCAGCCGGTAACTGACAGTGGGACTAAGCTGCAGCGAAAGGAAACCATTAATCTGGGTCTGGTTTAAGTAGTGTATATTCATTTGTGTCATTTCCACTCTGTGGAGAGAGGCTTTTATTTATTTTATCTCACCTTCCAAATATGTGAAGGCGGTGTAAGCCAAACCTCCATCATGGTGAACATACAGAATCAGCCTGGAGGTGGCATCTGTAAGTAGCAGCAGGGGAGATTGGAGATTCCAAACACTACATTAAAGAAAATGAACTCCTTGAGAGGTTGGTATGGCAACCACATTCAAAGGTGCCATTTCATGTTCTGGTTAGCGTATATAACACATTCGCAGACTTGATTAGATTTGTATATTCGGCAGGTTGGTATGTTAACAGAGAAAACAAGGTGAGCTTACCTTCTGGCACTGAGATAGCATAGATAGCCTTGATTGCAATAAATGACAGTACAGTAATATTACAGTAATCTTTTCTATATCCAGGGTGTACCCTGCCTCTCGCCCATTGACTACTGGGGTAGGCTCCAGTCCACCCCGCGACCCCATCAGGGAATAAACGGTATGATAATGGATGGATGAATGGATGGACTGACACCTGATCTTTTCAGTAAATGTACTCAAATTTTACCATCATCTTGCAATTTCCATATAAGCAGTGCTGCTTGGAGGAAACTGCACCTATATGTTTTACCGTAGTATTTTCATGAGTAAAAATGAGCATTTCATAAACGGGTAATTAAAGTAGATTTCATTCCTTGTACATTTAATGGCCCTGTCTATTACTAAGACACATTAGATTCTTGTAATTAAGATCCTTATTATGGTGAGCATGTGCCAATTAGGCAACTGTCAATTTGCATAATGTTGAATGGAACCACATTGTTCTATACAGTAATATTACTACCCACCATCTATATTGCTGTCACTGACAGGTGATTATTTGATTATGAAGTACAGTACAAAGTGCTCTAAAGCATTTAATCAAACTCCCGTTTATGTCTCCTGACGCATTAGACTTCTGTTCTTTGTCTTGCTATGTGAATGATTTAACAGGGAGATTGGGATGGGAACAATGGTGGTGAGCCTGGCAGTTCCATCCCATGGTCACTGCTGTATCAGCATAGAGGCACACAGGTCAGAGACAAAATCTGAACTTGTGGGTGTCCACCGAGATGAATCAATACAGCAGAGGAACAGCCCTGGGACATTTGCATTGCGGTATGATACAGCAGGCACAAGGTAATGTGTACTTGCAAAGACTCCCACATAAGTATTGCAGATGTTTTTACATTTGTTTTCATTTTGGATCTCTGCCTGGAGATGGAAAAATGTTCAACAAATTGAGGGGGGAAGACATCAAAACATTATCGCTAACTCCTTTATTTAATTCCTAATTAAAAAACATTTAATGTGAGTACGTTGAATGCAGTTTGCATGTTCTGTGTACATTTGGGCTCCACCCTGGTACTCCAGCTTCTTACCGCAGCCCAAAATCATGCATATTACATTCATTGGGTGACTCTAAATTGGACCTAGGACTTAATGTGAATGTGTGCAGTTAATTATTTTTATTCCAACCAGTAATGGACTAGAAATTAGTAAACTTTATCAATCCATCTACACCAGATTCTAGGGATATTTAATCAGGGATGTTAGTTAGTCATTGGCATCAAATACTTTAGCAGCAGCCCTAAATCTCTCATGAACAACCAAAGATACAGATTTGTGTATAAAAAATGTTACTTTTACTTCAGAAATACTCCATCTAAACAATCAAATGACCTGCAGCTACACCATACTGTCTCACAATGCGAAGGTTACATCATATCTGATCACTTCAAATACTGCTTCAGGGTGTTTTTTTTATTGGGCTGAATTTAGCTTCTGTACAATTGGGAGACTTCAAGCATGTGAGTGGGCATGTGTTGTGGAGGCTTTAAACACCTTCCATAATCCAACTCATTCCCTAATCTAGCTCATTTAATCTGGTCAGAGACTGCTTAACTGTCCCCTGTAAAACACTCTATTTCTACTCTTCATGAAAAAAATGTCTTTGCCTGTCCAAAGAGACTTTGACATTAATCGTGAAAAATTTATGAAGAACCAGAAAAAACAGTCTGAATTTCAAATGTGTGCCTAAAATGAAAATGTTATTTGATACCTCTATATTTGCTAGCCTGTTAACTTTAGTTTGTGAAAGGTTAAGGCTTCTTGGCCAAATTTCTGTAGAATAAATGTTGGTTATAATTTTGGGTAAGCCTCTGTCAGCATAGATCTTGATGTTCGGTGTTTTTAGAATAAACACCACCACAGATACAAATTTTCTGTTGCTCCATATTTTACACACAGAGAACAATAATCAATGGGATTTATACAGTATATTTCCTCTTTGTCCACCATGCCAAACATAAACTTGCTAGCATTTTAAATTAAACAGACAACTTAAATATGCCAGGAATGGAAGTGGGTAAAGACACAGCCGTTGTCTGTTAAATAAACAAAACACAAAAAGGCAGATGCAGGAGGCAATGCGTTCCTTCTCTTTCCCCCACTATCGTTGCTTGTTCAATAATTCTGTTGTTCATTCCTTACTTCATCTCTTTAATAATAGAAAGCACAGGTCACAAGTTCAGGTCTGATATCAGCACTGGCAGTCTGTCTTAATTGTGATGTCTGCTGCTCCAGGTACAATTAAAGCTGGAAAATATACACAAGCAAACAGCGGCACTGTGGCCAGACGCCTTTATAGTTACAGAGTTAAAGCGACTGCTGCAGCTCTGGCGACATTCAAACTCCTTCCACACACTGTTCCATGCACCCAAAATTATTTTGTTTGTTCAGATAAATTAGTAGGAGACAACATAATACTAATTTCAGTAGTAAAAACTTTATCAATTCAAACCAAGTTTTGCCAAAAGTAACCAAGTAATAAATTTGAAGTTGAAAAAAAATTCAGTTTCACACAAGCGAAAACAAGAGACAAAAAGATTCAGACTTCCCTCAAACAACGTTGTTCAAAATATATAATATTGTTTTCATAAATACTTTATGCTGAATTATCAAATAATCCACAAAGACTTGGATTTCTTATAAATCACCTACTGTTATAATTTCATTTGAATATGGGCATTAACCACTTGATAATTGCTTTTAAAAATAAATATAGTTGAGTTAACATAAAATAAATAATATTTTCAATTCTATGTTCTAATTTTATAAACAAAGACAATTGGACTTACAGATTTTAACAACATGTCAAAATCAGCACATTTGCCACCAACTTATTTTCAGCTCCAAGTAATTTGATCTTAAATTGTTAAGTGAAGACAAAAATTACTATCCATACGTGTAGGAAAAATTTTGTTTCTCTTCCAACTAGCTACATATAAAGAGTATAGCTCTTTTTACCAAAGCATGAATTATTTATAAAAACCCACAACGTAGAGTTGTTGATGACATAATACACGTTTTCATTAGTTAGAACAGACTAGACTGCGGGTAGCTGATAAATCTCCTATTCACATAACACAAACTCTTGATTTAAAATAATAAAAAACAAGCTTTAAAAAAATTCTGACATTTTAACTTTTCAAGAAAATACTCAACTTTTAAATATAAGAGGTAACCAGAATAATACAAACTCAATAAAAACAGTCAACATACAACAAGCTCCAGATCACCTACTTCAGGTTCCACAAGGCACACCTTGTGTCAACATGTTATCAGCAAAAAGAGAAAAGAAAAAAGTGTGTACAGGTAGGAAGAGGTCCAAGTAACTTCGTACTCTCAGAAGATCCGAACTGAGGCGTTGGCCAGTTTAAACTAAACTGCCTGATTTGTGGTGAGAGGCAGTGATGGGAGGTAAGCAGTGAAGCACAATGAAAATGTCTATGAAAGCACCACATTTAACACAATCAACAAAAGCAATTTCAACAACTGCCACCACAAAAAAGTCATGTATGAGCAATTGCAACTTTGCAAACAATGAAAACAATATCTTTCTCAGCCTGCACCCATTCTATATGTTTTTATGTACTGAGTGAAACCCACAAAACAATCCTGCTGCCAACAAAACTGACATGCTCCAGAAACTCAATATCTCATAGCTTTACATTTTGAAGAGTCTTCAAACACATCACCATACACATCCAGAAAAGAGAAATTATGCATGTCATCAGTTGGAAATGTATTGCATTCAATCTGCGCAAATTTTAATAATGTAATATTAAAATTAAGAAACGTGGCTTACAGCACCTGTGTCATGTTATCCTAAACCGATTGCTGGGCGCACTCTCACAACGGCTTTAATACTGGCACAATACATAATAGAGAAGGATAAATTCTTCAGACCTGAGGGTTACCTCACAAGGACAGAGAAGTCCGTGTGTTTTGGACAATTCCAACTATCAAAACATGCAGATTTCATACCTTGGGAAATAAACTGAAAATATGATATCACAATAACACTCTTGGAGAGCAGATACTGAGCCTCTTTGGATAAAAAAAAAAAAAAAACTCCTTTTGGACTAGGTGAGGTAACAACAGAGCAGAGGTGCTGCAGATTTTGCACATACCTGTTTTTTCTTTGATTTCACACAAGACATTGAAAAGAGCTGGCTTCATTCTGTGACAGTTCAGAGCATGTTTCCTGGAACAGAAAAGTGCCTCCATTAGCAAATGAAAAACGATCTCATCCAGTCTTTTATTTTCATGCATATAAATGTGTATGGGTCGATTTGTGTCGATTTATATTTATTGCAATTTAATTACTCTTATAGTGAATAACAGCTCTGTGTATGCATACAGATGCAGAAGATTGATGATAGATCTATTGAGGTGTGATGTGTTAAATTTCCCAAATATAAAAGAAGAATGTTGCGACTTTAAAATGACATCAAAACTTATTTTGAAGCAACAAAATTGTAAAATATTTTATTCTCGCTCAACTAACAAAGTTGTTCTGTATTTCTCGTTAGCAGCAAAACAGTCTGTCAGCTCTTCCCTATTGCAATGATCTAAATAAGTAAGGCTCTTAATTTGCACTACGTGCAAGTGCAAGTCTTTGGAAAATACTTTCAGAGAGCGATACGTTGGCAATAAATGCCATATTCACAGACTTTTCTGTTTAAGCGCGTCTTTAATATCAGTGGAAAAAAACATTGTTTTTTTAAATCTGATATTGCACAAGCCACACCAGTACCTACGTCGGAATATACACATTGCTCATTTATACATTTAATTAAATAAATGATATCGATCGTTTCATTTATTTCTTATTTACGCTCTTTTACACTGCCGTCTCTGAGCCGCGACTTGGGATCTTTACCTGGCTTGGGCTTCGTCCAGACTCTGATCCGTGATGGTCATTATTTGCTGTAAAATGTCTCCAATGTCCTGCTTCCTTCCATCAAGGTCCGTTCCACCGGTGCCTTCCTGCATTAGCTGCGGCAAGCCGGGGTGCCCTGCCATGCTCACACCCGTGTGAGAGTGCATCAACCTCGACTGCTCCTCCATTGCCTCTCACTACCTCTAATCTAATTCTCTGGGCTGTCGCAAAAATACATGTAAAAGAAAATAGGAGGAAGGGATGGGGGGGGGGGGGCGTGTAGGGGATTCCCTATATTAGTCTCGAGGATCACTTTTTTTGTTTCTCGCAAGAGCGTTTAGTAGCGCTGAACCGTGCGCATTAAAAAAAAATAAAAAAAAAATAAAATAAAATAAAAAAGGTATCGGAGGGGGAAGAGAAGAACCGACTGCTGTCTCGGAGCCACTGTCAGCTGGTCTTCGCTCAGTGTGAAATCTGATCTGAATTGCTCCTGCCTTCTCTTCAGTGCGCTGCGCGTAAAATGAGACAAATAAGACAACTGGCCTCTACTACCAAACCCTTTATTGTAAGCTAAATACCATCCATGCAAGGAGGCTAATCCCCTCACAGTCTGCCAAAAAAGAAAAATAAGTGGCAGAGAGAAATAACTGGATTTATTTAGTCATGTGCGCTGCAACCGGGACAGGCAGCGACATGGCAAAGATCTCCAGAGTCAAACTCCGCCTACGCGACACTATTGGGAATCTGCTGGAAGACCAATTAGCCCCACCTTGAGGTGCATCTCATGAAAAGTCGATCACTGCGATGCGGGAAAAAAGACAGGCAATCCCTATCCCACAGGAGAAGGGTTCCAGCAAGGCACAGCACTCAAAACTACAGATCACAAACTTACAGACACTCATTTGTTAAAAAGTTCTTACATATATAATGTGTATTGCTGTTTTATAGCTTGGAAAATCTGTCGATTAACTGCACACAGGAAATCACAATTCCAATATTATTGGGAGCATTTGAGGATGGACCTCACTGTCAGACATTCTTATTTAGTTGCGGGAGGCTCGTCGACTTTGTTGATTCATTTTCACTTCTGTAGCAGGGCTCCGCATGGATGACTTCTGTAAGGTCCTTGTAATGTAAGGCGGTGACCCATGTTGTGCAGCCAAGCAGGAAGGCCCAAGTCTGTCTGGCCAGGCTGAAAAGTGCCCTTCAGGGCCAGCGCTGCCTCACTGCCCTGTGCCCCTTCACCACTGAGAACCATTCAAAGGGAAGTGAGTGGAAAAGAGGAGGAAGGCAAAAAGAAACTCTTTCCAGTATGGAACCAAAGTGTCAACAATTCTGCATAAAAATCACTGGCCTGAATGTGTGACAGCATGTAGCATAGTGAATATTACAATGATGTTTATTTAACAGAGTTAAATGAATAAATAAATAAATAAATAAATAAATAAATAAATAAATAAATAAATAAATAAATAAATAAATAAATAAATAAATAAATAAATAAAACACAGATGACCACACCACAATTCATTTTGACATCAAGATCACAGCAAACTTTTTAAAGCAATTCAGGGAAATGTAAAAGACTACAAAGGGAGATTTCCCAGAGAACACACACACTCGATTTGGCAGCATTCATTTCGGTTACCACAGCAACTTCTCAAACAAACAACCAAGGCAAAACCCACAACATCAAAACATAGTGGCCACATGGGGCTCCGACTGATAAACAATCACAGTTAAGCAGTGAACATGACATATACTTCTCTTACAGTTTATTTCACACAGTGCCAAGACAACGTGATCTGCGTTTGTATGTAGACAGCATGTAGAACTTTTGAAAATGTTGGTGGATAATGTACATCACAGTCAGTACACAGCTTATTCATACACTTTCTTAATGCACAGTTAGCAAACAGTAATTAGTCACAAGTGATTTTGTTTAGATTTTTGCCCTTGTTTCTTAAGTTTGTGTTCCATGCTTTAGTTCCTGTGTTTTATGTTGGTAGCTTTATTTCTGTCTTGGTTTCTGGGTTCCTTTTTTATTCTAGAGTCTTCCTTTATTTCCTGTCTTTTACCCTTGTGTCTCAGTTTACTTGACCTCCCTCAGTTCCCTCCATTTCTGGTTAAATTACATATCTGAGTTAACAAGCCGGCTATGTCTGGAATATGGCTGCCACCTTGAAAGCCGTCATATTGGATCAATGACAAGTTTTTCTGATGATAAGGTGTTGATTTATTATATCAAATAAGACCAACATTGTTGCTGAAATTGATTGCTGCAAACAGATTTACAATTTCTCATGTGGTTCAAAAGTTATCAACACAGAAAGCTGCAACAATACCTGGAAATGTTGCCTGTGACACACAGCTATTTGGCATTTTCAGTGTGTTGTCCCTTGTACTGAACAAACAGTTGAAGACACGGAATCCAATCATTATGAATCCACAGGAGAATTTCTGTAAAAATACCTAATGACTGGATTCTGCGCCTACCATTAAACACTTTTTTCCCTCTTACAGTTAAAGAGTAAACCTCCATCCCTTGTGGTTAAGGTATGAGCAATGAAAATATATTTATGAACTGTTTAAAATGTTTCTGTTGTCATGGTTGTTGAAGGAAGTTCTTCTTTTTCCAGTATATGCAACACAGGAACTGGGGTTCATAATGACATAACCTACAAGTGCGCTTTTTTTCATTAAAGCAGGTGTTCCTTTTTCATAAGATACATAATTTTATAAGTGATTAGTCTAGAAGATCTGTCTGTATGGTATATAAATAATCTGTACGGGAAATAAAATCAGCATTCAAACCCACAATAAACAGGACGGAAATACAAAACTTACAGTCATTATAAGCACTCATCCATGTACTATAAACATAAATTCTCAACATTAACTTTGAACTAGTTCAACCAAACCATAAGGCAATAAATGCCGTAACAATTAAGACCAGTTATAGAGTCTATGTACCAAAGAGGAATTATTGTGTTGTGTTGATGTTATGACTTGAAATTTGAGAACCCGTAACGTGTGTCTGTCCTATTTTATAATGAATGCCATTTCATATATGAAAAAAACCCTTAGATGATCAATAGGATTGTAAAAAATCATCAAGCTGTTGATTTTCTTTCAAGAAATACAGCACCCCTTAGAATTCTTCCCTACAAATAGTAGCATACTTTAATTCAGATGTACAAGCAGTAACATCTTAGACTTTCATCCTAAGCCTCAGGTGGAATTGCAGTGATATTGTGGAGGTAGCATCCCTCCCCAGAGGAGCTCCAGCAGAGCACTAGCAATGTAAACTGGGAACAGAATGAAGGATAATGGTTAGTGGGGTAAGTTTCACAGCTGTCTGCTCAGTAATGGAATAATGAGAATACCTGAGAGGGACAAATTACTTGCAAGATGCATAAAAAAACTATCTGTAAAGAGTAAACTGGAAATTCTTATTTGCAACACTGTACAAATGTGAGGTTTGGTCATACTTCTATAAAGTTCTACAGCACTATATAGTTCTGCAAATGTGTTAAGACTTGTTCTCAGCACTTTCTGACAACATTGTAAACTGGTTTAGGTCCACAGCTCTGTCCACTATTTTGTTTTACTTTACAGTGTTCTACGATCGTCTTTGGAGTGTATGTGAGTCTTGCATTGCCGTTCTCGTGTTAATTTCTTAGCCCCATTGTTTTTTCCCACTCACAATAAAATTTTTAGTAAAAGATTACAGCCTCTTTGTTTGTTCTGGAATCCTGTTTTGATTGTATTGTAGTTCCAGGGGCCAGCCCTGCAGTATCCAACGAGGCCGGCACCACAGGGTACCTGCCCCCCCTTGGGGATTTTTGGTGTTTTGTCATGTCTTGGTATTGCCTTTTCCTCTTTTATTTTGAAAGGGACATCCCCTTGTTTCAGGTCATTTAAACTTCCCTGTGCGTCACCTGTCTGATTGTCTACCCTGATCACTGATTGTGTTCACCTGGAGTTTCCTGCCCCTCATGTGCTAAATAATCTGCATCTCTCCTTGTCTTGTGCCAGTGTGTTTCGTCTTTTGACTTATACTGCGCAGTAACCTTGCCATAGAAATCCTCCCTTTGACCCTCGACGTTTTTTTTTCTCGTATGAGTGAATATTCTTTTGTACTTCATAGCTTTTCAGCCTCGATTTCAAGTCAGTATTATTTTGTATTTTGTCCACAGTTTTGTTCTGCCTTGTAAGAGAGATTATTATTTAGTACTTTGTTTTTAGCTTTGCCTGCCTTGTATTGAGTGATTATTATTTTTACTTTTTGCCTTGTCTGTCCACTCCCTGCGAGTGCGTCCTAAGTTCTATTAAAGTTTTTTGTACACAATCTCTGCATCTGAGTTCTGCCTAGAGTTCCGTTCTGACAGTACACACTGGCCAGTATGGACTCAGTAGAGACCCCACAGGTGGCAGCGGCCTTGCGGTACCAGGAGGCGTGTATCATGCGTCAGGAAGCTGTTCTGGCGGACATGGCAGCTCTTCTCTGCGCCCTGTCAGGGAAAGTGCAGGACTTGTTGGACCACCCGCCTAATACGTATGCTCCGTTCCCCCTCTCCAGTAGCACCTGGTTATGGATGCGGAATCAGAATGGCGGCTCCCGAATGTTTTTTGGGGGAACCGGACAGTGCCAAGCCTTTTTGATTGGCTGCTCCATTCACTATGAATACTCTCCGCAGGACTTTCCCTCTGACAGGTCCAAGGTTGCGTTGATGATCTCCCACCTGACAGAGAGAGCTAGAGCTTGGGCCACCTAGGAGTGGGATTGGAAGTCTCGGATCTGCTACTCGTTATGGAATTCAGGGAGGCACTCCAGAGAACGCCCGTTGCATCGACCGAGAAATGGCTCGTAGATTGACGGGGATAGAGCAAGGCAATGACTCAGTTACTGACTATGCCATGTCTTTCCGCACCTTGGCTGCAGAGAGCGGCTGGAACTCCACTGCCCTTTAGGGATGGAACGGTTTATGAAAACCGTCCGAAGTGTTCGGTTCGACTGTCTTGGTCCGATTCACGTTTGTTGCGTTCGGTTCATGCGCTGCTCCTTTTTCTCATAGCCGAAGCGTGTACACTCCATAGTAGAAGGTGGCGGTACTGCGCCCAAAGCCAACCACCAGTAGTAAACAAGAAGAAGAAGCGAAGCAGCGTAGCCGGGTGTAGCAGATAA